CAACAAACCACTGCTTACTCCGGACTATGACTATGCACTCACGTCTCAGCAACAAGCAGGTACTTGTCGTAGTTGGCATGGTCGAAGCTTAGCGTCCCATACGCGGCATCGAAGGCCTGACACGAGCTGAAATCAAAACAGCGCGGAACTGTCCCCTGTTTGAAGAGCCTTTTGCAGCTCCGATCTTTGCGAAGCCGAGACTTCACTCAAAACATGAGCAGTCTTTGCGGAATTTATGGCAGCAGCCAGACAAAATGGAACCGACAACAAGATGGTGACAAGCATCAGACACTGCCACTTGGTCAAGCAAGAACGCTCCAACACGTACTCGAACACGAAGAATCTCTTTGAGGCATGCAAGGATGTTACCGCGATTTTCAGCAGTCAAGAGCAACTTTAACGAGTCACGCGAGCAACACTTTCTTTTTACTTTCGCACATGAGCTTTGAGCAGTCCAGTTGATGCTTCCCACGGCAAGTTAGTTACAACAGAAATTGGAAGAATACTTATACTAAGAAATCTACTTACTAAGCTTTGCACTTGTTGGACGTCAGATCCTCTCCCGTGCTGCTCCCGGTCTACACACCCATACAACACAATCACTGTGCTTCAGAAATATAGCTGCAAGTATGAACATGCCGCACTGTCCAGGCACTCCGCACGCCCCAGAGACTCCCTGGATCTCCCTGGCCTAGCCTGCCTCGCGACACACGACAACATCTGCATGCCACCACTCCCGCAAACAACACTGCAAAGACGAGCCCCTCCTGCAACACGAGTCCTCACACGCCAGACAAGAGCAACGACATACAAGGACACACCCAAGACAAACTATCCTAGCAAAGACTCTATCGGATCCCTCTTTTCGCCCCTCCGGTTCCCTCCGGTTCGACCCGCAGTAGCATGGGCACACATTGCAGCTGAAGCTGGTGCTCTGCACGTCGGCACTTGCTGGCCTGCAAGACCGAAGCCTTGGAGCGAGATGCTGCAGGGACTCCACCAAACTTCGCTGCCTTTCCACGCTAGCACGCAACAGCGTTCCCACCTCCTGCACCGCAAGCACAGAAGCAGAGTCATGCTCTGGAACTGTCACCTGGAAGAATTTGTCGCCACCCGTGCTGGAGGCATCATCGCAGTCAGCGGCTGCAACCTTCGATCCAGCCACCACCAAGCAGGTGTTGCCTTGCTTGACTTGCCCGTCCTGGCTGACTAGCCAACTTCCTTGCCCTTCTCGGCATTCGACCAAAGACACCTTGCCGGCCACAACTCCCAAGCAACTTCCGCCCAACACCTGTAGCTGCCCTTCCGCACTGCTGGAGAACACCTCAGCACCTGTGCCAGCCACAATGGCATCGACGCAGGGCGTTGCTTCCACACCACCGCCAGCTGCGACAAGGCATTGCTCTTGGGCTGCTGGAGCACCGCTCACGAGCATGTAAGCGGATGGCCCCGACATCGCAACTGCATTGGACAGCCCGAAGTATCCCCAAGGCTTTGCGCCGCGCATTAACACTTTGACAGCTTTCGCAGCCACTGGCTCCGGGAACAAGACAGTGTCCTCGAAGCTGGGCTCCGATCTCGAGACCTTGCTCCAGCCGACACTCTCCTGAAAGTTGCCACCGTCTGCGCTAGTCAGCACCTTGATCTCTCCTGGAGCATAGCTCCATCGCAAAGTCAGGCCAAGCAGCTGTCTCCGTGAACTGAGAGTGCAAGTCCAGGACACGGTCTGGCCCGGCTGGTGGTTCCCCGCGCTGCACCAATACCCCGAAAACTCCGTGGTTGCAAGCTCGCACGAATGTCTTAGAAGAATAGACACTCGAGGCTGTAGCTGCATCGAAGGAAGCGACACGCTGCGCGGCTGCAGGCAGCATCAAGGACAACAGAAGGCATGCCTTCACCATCGCTTCCATAGCAGACATAGCACTCACCACACACAACATGCACACTTGCTACACAACTCGTTCTCACAGACCGAATGTCCAACGGTAGCTGGACCTTGAAAACTGCACGCCGCTGTCTTGCGGTGCACAAACTCCTGAGCGCCACGATGCGCGGACAAACACACACACACACACACAAACACACACGAACGAGCTCTCCAGCATAGCACAGCTCTACGCACAGGCTCCTCGCTCTTTACGACAGCTTGGGCCGCCACGTATTTGCGAAAGGCAGGAGCGATGCACGGCGACAAGATGCTTGAAAGCTAGGCACAGGCGCTCTCCAAGCGAGTTAGCACCGCAGCTGTGTCTGTGCTGAGCGCTTGCAAGACGCTCAGTGACTGAGTCATCTCGGCTGCCTGCTGAGCGTAGGCTTTCACGACATCTGCGCGCAGCGACGCGTAATCCATCTCCGGCACTGCAACCGCCACTTATTGCAACTGTCTCGGACTGAACGCCAGCAGCACTCAGACGACTAATGCACTGCAGCAAATGCACGCGGTCTCTTCATTTTCCTCTCAGTCGCAAGACTGGTTAAGTTGGGGCAGCGCGGACGGAAAATGATCTATCGGACCGCCCATGCTCGGCACGGGTTGTCCATTTCAGAATGAGGGAAGGTACACACCACACCCCCCCCCACCACTTCAAGGGCGGGCGGGCGGGGCAAAACAAGAAGACACCAAGTGTTCAGCCACACAGGCAACCGCTAGAGCATTCTCTAACACCTGCTGGCCTGGACATGCATCAACACGCATCATCATGCATCAAGGACACGTGCTGCACGGCAATCACAACAGTGCGACACAACACGGCACGCAGCTGCCGACGCAAAACCACAAGCACGCACAGGCTTAGTAGGTTTTGCTTTCAGTCAGGACAGCGGGCAATAAAGCGACGTCAACAAGTGGAAGTAGGCTTATTGCAACTGTCTCGGACTGAACGCCAGCAGCACTCAGACGACTAATGCACTGCAGCAAATGCACGCGGTCTCTTCATTTTCCTCGCAGTCGCAAGACTGGTTAAGTTGGGGCAGCGCGGACGGAAAATGATCTATCGGACCGCCCATGCTCGGCACGGGTTGTCCATTTCAGAATGAGGGAAGGTACACACCACCCCCCCACCACCACTTCAAGGGCGGGCGGGCGGGGCAAAACAAGAAGACACCAAGTGTTCAGCCACACAGGCAACCGCTAGAGCATTCTCTAACACCTGCTGGCCTGGACATGCATCAACACGCATCATCATGCATGATGGACACGTGCAGCACGGCAATCACATCAGTGCGACACAACACAGCACGCAGCTGCCGACGCAAAACCACAAGCACGCACAGGCTTAGTAGGTTTTGCTTTCAGTCAGGACAGCGGGCAATAAAGCGACGTCAACAAGTGGAAGTAGGCTGCAGCACTGAACATCAGGAGCAGAGTAGGAAGCAAACAAGCAAACAAACGAACCAAGTCCATCTCTGCAGCTGCTGTGAAGTGGCTCCTGCGCAAGACCAGTCGACTCGACTCTACTTGTGCTCCACACTCACGCAGTCGCCACATGCCCTCTGACTTTGTTCTACCAGCGATGCGCCATTGAACAAGGACTCTGACACAGAACAGAGTCACGTGGCCTGCCACCTTCATTAGAGGTTTTGAGCACATTTGTCTAGGGGGAAGCAACGACCCAGGACCAACACGCCCATGTAACGCTAAACAAGGCAACCGGGAAGTAGTTTAGCTACGCGGTCTATCACAACACCAAACCAAGGAAGCAAGCTCGCACACAGGACTGTCAGCACAATCACTTACAAGCACACATGCAGCAACGCTGCGCTCCTCACTTTTCAACCCTGAGATGGTGGAGATACGACGAGTCTCATGCCATTCTGAAAGCTGCAAGTGAGACTCTCGACCTTCGAACGGCCCAAACAAGAAGAGATCCCTCCTCAAAGAATGCCAGGGCCGAGTCGAACATCCCCACCCCCCACATTTTGCAGGGTCGTGGCGGGCGGGAAAAGCAAAATGCTCACACAAGGCTTCGCTAGCAGGTAGCACATAAACGCTCCTGCACCTATGAGCCTTGCAGGCAGAGCCACATGCTTGCAGAGCAACAGCAAACATGTAACATGTCCGCAGGTGTTCAAGCGCTTGCACAAATACACACAAGCGCAAGACCAGGCATCAGCTACGCACATACTTCCCACTTAGATACACGCACGCGTGCACCTCGCTGCAGCGCTGGCACCGCACACAAACATTTCAACCTCAACTCACAATCAAACATGGGCAAATCTGGCGCCAGGCACACACCCTGCAAGGGCTCTCATACATAGCCACGTTTCCCCCAGCAACGACTTCGGTTCGAACACTGCGCCCAAAGGTGGTCCGCAGAGCCCATCAAGTCAGAGAAAAAGGAGAGCGAATGTGCAGCAATTGGCACAATTGCGGAAAGCCACACTCCTCATCACCAAGGTGGTGAATGGCACGGTCACCAAAGCTGCTATGGCACCAGGGCCTCAGAAGAAGACGAGGCAGCAACTCAGTTCGCCGGAGACCGCCATCAGCCAAAGCCAGCATCAGCCCAAGCGCCACGGGGTTGCCGAAGTCGAAGACCCGGAGGGAGTCGAAGAGGGTGTGTCCAGACGCCGAAACATCAAACACTTGAAACCCGAAGGAGCACCACGAAGACCCGCGAAAAGAAGCCGGGGATCCTAACGCGCTCCAGCAAACACGCAAGCACAACCAGCTTAAGGACACGAGTAACCCAGAACAGGCACTCCGCTCTCTTTTTTCTTCCCGGTGTGGACTTGAAGATCCAGGCTCAAGACTGGCATCAGCTCGACGGCTGACAAAGAACATCAGCTGCTGCTGACAAAAGACTGCCCCCCTCCCTGCAATCACAGGGCGGGCGGGTGGGAAAACAAGAACACTCCAGCAAGCCTGCTGTGAGCACCTGGGGGGCAACCTCCCCAACAATTGACATCCCAAGCACAACCTTGAGACAGTACTACCCGAACAAGCAAGTTCCAAGTGCACCGGACATGCAACACAGCATGAAGCAACGAAGCACACCTCACGGATCCCACTTCCTGTCCCTGGCAGGCCACCCCGCGAGCAGCCCAGCATCACCCGCCATCATCTCCATCAGCAGCAGCCGGCGGAGGCGGAGCCTCGCTAGGCCGGAGACCATGTCGTCGAAGAGCATCATGAAGGTGTTTGCCGGCAGTGGCCGAAGCCTGGATTGCATTGAGTTCCCAGGCAGCAGCCTCTTCACGAAGTCGCCACCAAGCAGCACGACCATGACCTCCGCTGCGACGAACACGACATTCAGCGGCGGCACGGTCAGCTTGATCGTTCATCCATCTCATGAGGTCCGTGCTCAGCCCAAGAGGAGCTTCCCAGCTCGGTCGCTTCCCGTGCGAGGGCACCCAGGCATGGGTCAATTGCACGCCGAGGGCCTCAAGGGACCCGAGAGCTCGTCGAACCTGGTTGACGATGTGCAACAAGTACGAGAAGTGGTCACCCTGCCTCAGCACGACTCGCAGCACGGCCTGACAGTCGACGACGAAGACGATCCTGCCAGTCCACCCAGTAGACCGCGCCGCATCGAGAGCAGCACGTGTAGCCAAGTCGTAGGACGTTTGGTCCTCCTCGCCGTTTCCTATGGCACAGCGGTAACCCCCCCCCCAGCAACGACTTCGGTTCCATCTACACAGTTGCCACCCCCTGCCTGCTATGCACAGCAGGTGCAGCGGTGAGCACGCAACACTGACGATCGGAACACTCCAGCAGCAGTTGACCTCCAGGTCGACCCACAACCAACACTTCTCTCTGCTGCAGCTGCACGCGCGAGATGTGTTGGCTATAGATAGAAAGGGTTTAAGTCACAGTACGGGCCAGTGACCAGGGCACACCTGACCTGGAAATGAGAAGGGCTGCAGACTCTGCAGACGTTCAAGAGCTGCAACTGAGAAACGAGAACCTACAAACGGATCGATACGGCTTACGTCGGCACTAGTGGCAGATAGCAGTAGCAACCCCCGCAGCAGTTGAACCAGGTCTCTACACGTCTTGGCCGGCTTGCGCAAGAAGGCAGGCAGAGCAAGGATTCTCAAGCAACGTCGTCTCAATCTCGTAATCTACTTAGTCTACTGACGCAGCGTCCTTGCCACAGCCTCCTGGGGCACATTGCAGCTGAAGCTGGTGCTCTGCACGCGGGCACTTGCTTCGAGTGGCCTGGCAGGGGATGACCAGAACACAGCAGGACTATACCTTGGAAGCAACAAGCTTGAGGGTGTCCGAGGACGCCGCAAGCACTGACGCTAGCGCTGCCCTGCCAGGACCAAACGTGTCAGCGACCTTGACCGGCAGTGACTCGTCGAGCGCTGCACGCCCAGCAGATGACCCGACTCTGCCGAACTGCACGAAAGCTGGCCAAGTCTTGCTTGTGACCAGGCTCACAGGCCTGCAAGACCCAAGCCTTGGAGCGAGATGCTGCAAGGACTCCACCAAACTTCGCTGCCTTTCCACGCTAGCACGCAACAGCGTTCCCACCTCCTGCACCGCAAGCACAGCCGCAGGGTCATGCTCTGGAACTGTCACCTGGAAGAATTTGTCGCCACCAGTGCTGGAGGCATCATCGCAGTCAGCGGCTGCAACCTTCGATCCAGCCACCACCAAGCAGGTGTTGCCTTGCTTGACTTGCCCGTCCTGGCTGACTATCCAACTTGCTTGCCCTTCTTGGCATTCGACCAAAGACACTTTGCCGGCCACAACTCCCAAGCAACTTCCGCCCAACACCTGTAGCTGCCCTTCGGCACTGCTGGAGAACACCTCAGCACCTGCGCCAGCCACAATGGCATCGACGCAGGGCTTTGCTTCCACACCACCGCCAGCTGCGACAAGGCATTGCTCTTGGGCTGCTGGAGCACCGCTCACGAGCATGTAAGCGGATGGCCCCGACATCGCAACTGCATTGGACAGCCCGAAGTATCCCCAAGGCTTTGCGCCGCGCATTAACACTTTGACAGCTTTCGCAGCCACTGGCTCCGGGAACAAGACAGTGTCCTCGAAGCTGGGCTCCGATCTCGATAGCTTGCTCCAGCCGACACTCTCCTGAAAGTTGCCACCGTCTGCGCTAGTGAGTACCTTGATCTCTCCTGGAGCATAGCTCCATCGCAAAGTCAGGCCAAGCAGCTGTCTCCGTGATCTGAAAGTGCCAGTCCAGGACACGGTCTGGCCCGGCTCGTGGTTCCCCGCGCTGCACCAATACCCCGAAGACCCCGCGGTTGCAAGCTCGGCCCCGAATGTCTTAGAAGAGTAGACGCTCGAGGCTGTAGCTCCATCGAAGGAAGCGAAACGCTGCGCAGCTGCAGGCAGCATCAAGGACAACAGAAGGCATGCCTTCACCATCGCTTCCATAGCAGACATAGCACTCACCACACACAACATGCACACTTGCTACACAACTCGTTCTCACAGACCGAATGTCCAACGGTAGCTGGACCTTGAAAACTGCACGCCGCTGTCTTGCGGTGCACAAACTCCTGAGCACCACGATGCGCGGACAAACACACACACACACACACACACACACACAAACACACACGAACGAGCTCTCCAGCATAGCACAGCTCTACGCACAGGCTCCTCGCTCTTTACGACAGCTTGGGCCGCCACGTATTTGCGAAAGGCAGGAGCGATGCACGGCGACAAGATGCTTGAAAGCTAGGCACAGGCGCTCTCCAAGCGAGTTAGCACCGCAGCTGTGTCTGTGCTGAGTGCTTGCAAGACGCTCAGTGACTGAGTCATCTCGGCTGCCTGCTGAGCGTAGGCTTTCACGACATCTGCGCGCAGCGACGCATAATCCATCTCCGGCACGGCAACCGCCGCTGCAGCACTGAACATCAGGAGCAGAGTAGGAAGCAAACAAGCAAACAAACGAGCCAAGTCCATCTCTGCAGCTGCTGTGAAGTGGCTCCCGCGCAAGACCAGTCGACTCGTCTCTACTTGTGCTCCACACTCATGCACAGTCGTCACATGCCCTCTGACTTTGTTCTACCAGCGATGCGCCATTGAACAAGGACTCTGACACAGAACAGAGTCACGTGGACTGCCACCTTCATCAGAGGTTTTGAGCACATTTGTCTATGGGGAAGCAACGACCCAGGACCAACACGCCCATGTAACGCTAAACAAGGCAACCTGCAGCGCTGGCACCGCACACAGACATTTCAACCTCAATTCACAATCAATCGTGGGCAAATCTGGCACCAGCCACACACCCTGCAAAGGCTCTCATACATAGCCACATTTCCCCCAGCAACGACTTCGGTTCGAACTCTGCGCCCAAAGGTGGTCCGCAGAGCCCATCAAGTCAGAGAAAAAGGAGAGCGAATGTGCAGCAATTGGCACAAGCGCGGAAAGCCACACTCCTCATCACCAAGGTGGTGAATGGCACGGTCACCAAAGCTGCTATGGCACCAGGGCCTCAGAAGAAGACGAGGCAGCAACTCAGTTCGCCGGAGGCCGCCATCAGCCAAAGCCAGCAGCAGCCCAAGCGCCACGGGGTTGCCGAAGTCGAAGACCCGGAGGGAGTCGTAGAAGGTGTGTCCAGGAGCCGTAGCATCAAACACTTGCAACCCGAAGGAGCACCACGAAGACCCGCGAAAATTTCCCCCAGCAACATCAACCATGCAATTGCCACCCCCTGCCTGCTAAGCACAGCAGGCGCAACGGTGAGCAGGCAACACTGAAGATCGGAACACTCCAGCAGCAGTTGACCTCCAGGTCGACCCACAACCAACACTTCTCTCTGTTGCAGCTGCACGCGCAAGATGTGTTTGCTATAGATAGAAAGGGTTTACGTCACAGTACGGGCCAGTGACCAGGGCACCTGACCTGGAAATGAGAAGGGCTGCAAGCCCTACAAAACGGATCGATACGGCTTACGTCGGCACTAGTGGCAGATAGCAGTAGCAACCCCCGCAGCAGTTGAACCATGTCTCTACACGTCTTGGCCGGCTTGCGCAAGAAGGCAGGCAGGACATTCCGAGCTTACAGCGTGCAGCCGGCAGGACAGACATGGCACACTCACTCGTGCATCGCTCATTTTGGAAGCACACAGCAGGAGGCGTTGCATGTCGTCCCGTCCGCACCAACAAACAAAAGGTTGGGCGGACGGCGACAGAAACCCCCACTGTTTGAAGGGCGGAGAGGGTGGGTGTCAAAATTCGCAAGGAATCGACACTTCACAGACAGGTAACAACTAACAACTGCGGCATGCAGCGATCAAGCTCTCCCATGTCATTACGTGCACCCGTGCACTGACACAGCAAGGACTGGAACTCTCAAGCAACGTCGTCTCAATCTCGTAATCTACTTAGGTCTACTGAGTCTACTGACGCAGCATCATTGCCGCAGCCTCCTGGGGCACATTGCAGCTGAAGCTGGTGCTCTGCACGCGGGCACTTGCTTCGAGTGGCCTGGCAGGGGATGACCAGAACACAGCAGGACTATACCTTGGAAGCAACAAGCTTGAGGGTGTCCGAGGACGCAGCAAGCACTGACGCTAGCGCTGCCCCGCCAGGACCAAACGTGTCAGCGACCTTGACCGGCAGTGACTCGTCGAGCGCTGCACGCCCAGCAGATGACCCGACTCTGCCGAACTGCACGAAGGCTGGCCAAGTCTTGCTTGTGACCAGGCTCACAGGCCTGCAAGACCCAAGCCTTGGAGCGAGATGCTGCAAGGACTCCACCAAACTTCGCTGCCTTTCCACGCTAGCACGCAACAGCGTTCCCACCTCCTGCACCGCAAGCACAGCCGCAGGGTCATGCTCTGGAACTGTCACCTGGAAGAATTTGTCGCCACCAGTGCTGGAGGCATCATCGCAGTCAGTGGCTGCAACCTTCGATCCAGCCACCACCAAGCAGGTGTTGCCTTGCTTGACTTGCCCGTCCTGGCTGACTAGCCAACTTCCTTGCCCTTCTCGGCATTCGACCAAAGACACTTTGCCGGCCACAACTCCCAAGCAACTTCCGCCCAACACCTGTAGCTGCCCTTCCGCACTGCTGGAGAACACCTCAGCACCTGTGCCAGCCACAATGGCATCGATGCAGGGCTTTGCTTCCACACCACCGCCAGCTGCGACAAGGCATTGCTCTTGGGCTGCTGGAGCACCGCTCACGAGCATGTAAGCGGATGGCCCCGACAACGCAACTGCATTGGACAGCCCGAAGTATCCCCAAGGCTTCGCGCCGCGCATTAACACTTTGACAGCTTTCGCAATCACTGGCTCCGGGAACAAGACAGTGTCCTCGAAGCTGGGCTCCGATCTCGAGAGCTTGCTCCAGCCGACACTCTCCTGAAAGTTGCCACCGTCTGCGCTAGTGAGCACCTTGATCTCTCCTGGAGCATAGCTCCATCGCAAAGTCAGGCCAAGCAGCTGTCTCCGTGATCTGAAAGTGCCAGTCCAGGACACGGTCTGGCCCGGCTCGTGGTTCCCCGCGCTGCACCAATACCCCGAAGATTCCGTGGTTGCAAGCTCGGCCCCGAATGTCTTAGAAGAGTAGACGCTCGAGGCTGTAGCTGCATCGAAGGAAGCGAAACGCTGCGCAGCTGCAGGCAGCATCAAGGACAACAGAAGGCAAGCCTTCACCATTGCTTCCATAGCAGCCATAGCACTCACCACACACAACATGCACACTTGCTACACAACTCGTTCTCACAGACCGAATGTCCAACGGTAGCTGGACCCTGAAAACTGCACGCCGCTGTCTTGCGGCGCACAAACTCCTGAGCGCCACGATACGCGGACAAACACACACACACACACACGAACGAACGAGCACTCCAGCATAGCACAGCTCTACGCACAGGCTCCTCGCTCTTTACGACAGCTTGGGCCGCCACGTATTTGCGAAAGGCAGGAGCGATGCACGGCGACAAGATGCTTGAAAGCTAGGCACAGGCGCTCTCCAAGCGAGTTAGCACCGCAGCTGTGTCTGTGCTGAGTGCTTGCAAGACGCTCAGTGACTGAGTCATCTCGGCTGCCTGCTGAGCGTAGGCTTTCACGACATCTGCGCGCAGCGACGCATAATCCATCTCCGGCACTGCAACCGCCGCTGCAGCACTGAACATCAGGAGCAGAGTAGGAAGCAAACAAGCAAACAAACGAGCCAAGTCCATCTCTGCAGCTGCTGTGAAGTGGCTCCCGCGCAAGACCAGTCGACTCGTCTCTACTTGTGCTCCACACTCATGCACAGTCGTCACATGCCCTCTGACTTTGTTCTACCAGCGATGCGCCATTGAACAAGGACTCTGACACAGAACAGAGTCACGTGGACTGCCACTCTCATCAGAGGTTTTTAGCACATTTGTCTATAGGGGGAAGCAACGACCCAGGACCAACACGCCCATGTAACGCTAAACAAGGCAACCTGCAGCGCTGACACCGCACACAGACATTTCAACCTCAACTCACAATCAAACATGGGCAAATCTGGCACCAGGCACACACCCTGCAAGGGCTCTCATACATAGCCACACCACGCAATTGCCACCCCCTGCCTGCTAAGCACAGCATGCGCAACGGTGAGCAGGCAACACTGAAGATCGGAACACTCCAGCAGCAGTTGACCTCCAGGTCGACCCACAACCAACACGTCTCTCTGTTGCAGCTGCACGCGCAAGATGTGTTGGCTAGAGATAGAAAGGGTTTACGTCACAGTACGGGCCAGTGACCAAGCCACACCTGACCTGGAAATGAAAAGGGCTGCAGGACTCTGCAGACGTTCAAGAGCTGCAACTGAGAAACGAACCTACAAAACGGATCGATACGGCTTACGTCGGCACTAGTGGCAGATATAGCAGTAGCAACCCCCTCTGCACGTCTTGGCCGGCTTGTGCAAGAAGGCAGGCCGAGCAAGGACTGGAACTCTCAAGCAACGTCGTCTCAATCTCGTAATCTACTTAGTCTACTGACGCAGCATCATTGCCGCAGCCTCCTGGGGCACATTGCAGCTGAAGCTGATGCTCTGCACGCGGGCACTTGCTTCGAGTGGCCTGGCAGGGGATGACCAGAACACAGCAGGACTATACCTTGGAAGCAACAAGCTTGAGGGTGTCCGAGGACGCAGCAAGCACTGACGCTAGCGCTGCCCCGCCAGGACCAAACGTGTCAGCGACCTTGACCGGCAGTGACTCGTCGAGCGCTGCACGCCCAGCAGATGACCCGACTCTGCCGAACTGCACGAAGGCTGGCCAAGTCTTGCTTGTGACCAGGCTCACAGGCCTGCAAGACCCAAGCCTTGGAGCGAGATGCTGCAAGGACTCCACCAAACTTCGCTGCCTTTCCACGCTAGCACGCAACAGCGTTCCCACCTCCTGCACCGCAAGCACAGCCGCAGGGTCATGCTCTGGAACTGTCACCTGGAAGAATTTGTCGCCACCAGTGCTGGAGGCATCATCGCAGTCAGCGGCTGCAACCTTCGATCCAGCCACCACCAAGCAGGTGTTGCCTTGCTTGACTTGCCCGTCCTGGCTGACTAGCCAACTTCCTTGCCCTTCTCGGCATTCGACCAAAGACACTTTGCCGGCCACAACTCCCAAGCAACTTCCGCCCAACACCTGTAGCTGCCCTTCCGCACTGCTGGAGAACACCTCAGCACCTGTGCCAGCCACAATGGCATCGATGCAGGGCTTTGCTTCCACACCACCGCCAGCTGCGACAAGGCATTGCTCTTGGGCTGCTGGAGCACCGCTCACGAGCATGTAAGCGGATGGCCCCGACAACGCAACTGCATTGGACAGCCCGAAGTATCCCCAAGGCTTCGCGCCGCGCATTAACACTTTGACAGCTTTCGCAATCACTGGCTCCGGGAACAAGACAGTGTCCTCGAAGCTGGGCTCCGCTCTCGATAGCTTGCTCCAGCCGACACTCTCCTGAAAGTTGCCACCGTCTGCGCTAGTGAGTACCTTGATCTCTCCTGGAGCATAGCTCCATCGCAAAGTCAGGCCAAGTAGCTGTCTCCGTGATCTGAAAGTGCCAGTCCAGGACACGGTCTGGCCCGGCTCGTGGTTCCCCGCGCTGCACCAATACCCCGAAGACTCCGTGGTTGCAAGCTCGGCCCCGAATGTCTTAGAAGAGTAGACGCTCGAGGCTGTAGCTGCATCGAAGGAAGCGAAACGCTGCGCAGCTGCAGGCAGCATCAAGGACAACAGAAGGCAAGCCTTCACCATTGCTTCCATAGCAGCCATAGCACTCACCACACACAACATGCACACTTGCTACACAACTCGTTCTCACAGACCGAATGTCCAACGGTAGCTGGACCCTGAAAACTGCACGCCGCTGTCTTGCGGCGCACAAACTCCTGAGCGCCACGATACGCGGACAAACACACACACACACACACGAACGAACGAGCACTCCAGCATAGCACAGCTCTACGCACAGGCTCCTCACTCTTTACGACAGCTTGGGCCGCCACGTATTTGCGAAAGGCAGGAGCGATGCACGGCGACAAGATGCTTGAAAGCTAGGCACAGGCGCTCTCCAAGCGAGTTAGCACCGCAGCTGTGTCTGTGCTGAGTGCTTGCAAGACGCTCAGTGACTGAGTCATCTCGGCTGCCTGCTGAGCGTAGGCTTTCACGACATCTGCGCGCAGCGACGCATAATCCATCTCCGGCACTGCAACCGCCGCTGCAGCACTGAACATCAGGAGCAGAGTAGGAAGCAAACAAGCAAACAAACGAGCCAAGTCCATCTCTGCAGCTGCTGTGAAGTGGCTCCCGCGCAAGACCAGTCGACTCGTCTCTACTTGTGCTCCACACTCACGCAGTCGTCACATGCCCTCTGACTTTGTTCTACCAGCGATGCGCCATTGAACAAGGACTCTGACACAGAACAGAGTCACGTGGACTGCCACCTTCATCAGAGGTTTTCAGCACATTTGTCTAGGGGGAAGCAACGACCCAGGACCAACACGCCCATGTAACGCTAAACAAGGCAACCTGCAGCGCTGGCACCGCACACAGACATTTCAACCTCAATTCACAATCAATCGTGGGCAAATCTGGCACCAGGCACACACCCTGCAAAGGCTCTCATACATAGCCACATTTCCCCCAGCAACGATTTCGGTTCGAACACTGCGCCCAAATGTGGTCCGCAGAGCCCATCAAGTCAGAGTAGAAGGGGAGCGAATGTGCAGCAGTTGGCACATACGCGGAAAGCCACACTCCACATCACCAAGATGGTGAACGGCACGGTCAACAAAGCTGCTAAGGCACCAGGGGCTCATCAGAAGTCGAGGCAGCAACTCAGTTCGCCGGAGGCCGCCATCAGCCAAAGCCAGCAGCAGCCCAAGCGCCACGGAGTTGCCGAAGTCGAAGACCCGGAGGGAGTCGTAGAAGGTGTGTCCAGAAGCCGTAGCATCAAACACTTGAAACCCGAAGGAGCACAACGAAAACCCGCGAAAATTTCCCCCAGCAACATCAACCACGCAATTGCCAGCCGCTGCCTGCTAAGCACGGCAGGCGCAACGGTGAGCAGGCAACACTGAAGATCGGAACACTCCAGCAGCAGTTGACCTCCAGGTCGACCCACAACCAACACTTCTCTCTGTTGCAGCTGCACGCGCAAGATGTGTTGGCTATAGATAGAAAGGGTTTACGTCACAGTACGGGAGTGACCAGGGCACCTGACCTGGAAATGAGAAGGGCTGCAAGCCCTACAAAACGGATCGATACGGCTTACGTCGGCACTAGTGGCAGATACCAGTAGCAACCCCCGCAGCAGTTGAACCAGGTCTCTACACGTCTTGGCCGGCTTGCGCAAGAAGGCAGGCAGAGCAAGGATTGGAACTCTCAAGCAACGTCGTCTCAATCTCGTAATCTACTTAGGTCTACTGAGTCTACTGACGCAGCATCATTGCCGCAGCCTCCTGGGGCACATTGCAGCTGAAGCTGGTGCTCTGCACGTGGGCACTTGCTTCGAGTGGCCTGGCAGGGGATGACCAGAACACAGCAGGACTATACCTTGGAAGCAACAAGCTTGAGGGTGTCCGAGGACGCAGCAAGCACTGACGCTAGCGCTGCCCTGCCAGGACCAAACGTGTCAGCGACCTTGACCGGCAGTGACTCGTCGAGCGCTGCACGCCCAGCAGATGACCCGACTCTGCCGAACTGCACGAAGGCTGGCCAAGTCTTGCTTGTGACCAGGCTCACAGGCCTGCAAGACCCAAGCCTTGGAGCGAGATGCTGCAAGGACTCCACCAAACTTCGCTGCCTTTCCACGCTAGCACGCAACAGCGTTCCCACCTCCTGCACCGCAAGCACAGCCGCAGGGTCATGCTCTGGAACTGTCACCTGGAAGAATTTGTCGCCACCAGTGCTGGAGGCATCATCGCAGTCAGCGGCTGCAACCTTCGATCCAGCCACCACCAAGCAGGTGTTGCCTTGCTTGACTTGCCCGTCCTGGCTGACTAGCCAACTTCCTTGCCCTTCTCGGCATTCGACCAAAGACACTTTGCCGGCCACAACTCCCAAGCAACTTCCGCCCAACACCTGTAGCTGCCCTTCCGCACTGCTGGAGAACACCTCAGCACCTGTGCCAGCCACAACGGCATCGACGCAGGGCTTTGCTTCCACACCACCGCCAGCTGCGACAAGGCATTGCTCTTGGGCTGCTGGAGCACCGCTCACGAGCATGTAAGCGGATGGCCCCGACATCGCAACTGCATTGGACAGCCCGAAGTATCCCCAAGGCTTTGCGCCGCGCATTAACACTTTGACAGCTTTCGCAGCCACTGGCTCCGGGAACAAGACAGTGTCCTCGAAGCTGGGCTCCGATCTCGATAGCTTGCTCCAGCCGACACTCTCCTGAAAGTTGCCACCGTCTGCGCTAGTGAGTACCTTGATCTCTCCTGGAGCATAGCTCCATCGCAAAGTCAGGCCAAGTAGCTGTCTCCGTGATCTGAAAGTGCCAGTCCAGGACACGGTCTGGCCCGGCTCGTGGTTCCCCGCGCTGCACCAATACCCCGAAGACTCCGTGGTTGCAAGCTCGGCCCCGAATGTCTTAGAAGAGTAGACGCTCGAGGCTGTAGCTGCATCGAAGGAAGCGAAACGCTGCGCAGCTGCAGGCAGCATCAAGGACAACAGAAGGCAAGCCTTCACCATTGCTTCCATAGCAGCCATAGCACTCACCACACACAACATGCACACTTGCTACACAACTCGTTCTCACAGACCGAATGTCCAACGGTAGCTGGACCCTGAAAACTGCACGCCGCTGTCTTGCGGCGCACAAACTCCTGAGCGCCACGATACGCGGACAAACACACACACACACACACACACACGAACGAACGAGCACTCCAGCATAGCACAGCTCTACGCACAGGCTCCTCGCTCTTTACGACAGCTTGGGCCGCCACGTATTTGCGAAAGGCAGGAGCGATGCACGGCGACAAGATGCTTGAAAGCTAGGCCCTAGGCACAGGCGCTCTCCAAGCGAGTTAGCACCGCAGCTGTGTCTGTGCTGAGTGCTTGCAAGACGCTCAGTGACTGAGTCATCTCGGCTGCCTGCTGAGCGTAGGCTTTCACGACATCTGCGCGCAGCGACGCATAATCCATCTCCGGCACTGCAACCGCCGCTGCAGCACTGAACATCAGGAGCAGAGTAGGAAGCAAACAAGCAAACAAACGAGCCAAGTCCATCTCTGCAGCTGCTGTGAAGTGGCTCCCGCGCAAGACCAGTCGACTCGTCTCTACTTGTGCTCCACACTCACGCACAGTCGTCACATGCCCTCTGACTTTTTTCTACCAGCGATGCGCCATTGAACAAGGACTCTGACACAGAACAGAGTCACGTGGACTGCCACCTTCATCAGAGGTTTTCAGCACATTTGTCTAGGGGGAAGCAACGACCCAGGACCAACACGCCCATGTAACGCTAAACAAGGCAACCTGCAGCGCTGGCACCGCACACAGACATTTCAACCTCAATTCACAATCAATCGTGGGCAAATCTGGCACCAGGCACACACCCTGCAAAGGCTCTCATACATAGCCACACCACGCAATTGCCACCCCCTGCCTGCTAAGCACAGCATGCGCAACGGTGAGCAGGCAACACTGAAGATCGGAACACTCCAGCAGCAGTTGACCTCCAGGTCGACTCACAACCAACACGTCTCTCTGTTGCAGCTGCACGCGCAAGATGTGTTGGCTATAGATAGAAAGGGTTTACGTCACAGTACGGGCCAGTGACCAAGCCACACCTGACCTGGAAATGAAAAGGGCTGCAGGACTCTGCAGACGTTCAAGAGCTGCAACTGAGAAACGAACCTACAAAACGGATCGATACGGCTTACGTCGGCACTAGTGGCAGATATAGCAGTAGCAACCCCCTCTGCACGTCTTGGCCGGCTTGTGCAAGAAGGCAGGCAGACCAAGGACTGGAACTCTCAAGCAACGTCGTCTCAATCTCGTAATCTACTTAGTCTACTGACGCAGCATCATTGCCGCAGCCTCCTGGGGCACATTGCAGCTGAAGCTGATGCTCTGCACGCGGGCACTTGCTTCGAGTGGCCTGGCAGGGGATGACCAGAACACAGCAGGACTATACCTTGGAAGCAACAAGCTTGAGGGTGTCCGAGGACGCAGCAAGCACTGACGCTAGCGCTGCCCCGCCAGGACCAAACGTGTCAGCGACCTTGACCGGCAGTGACTCGTCGAGCGCTGCACGCCCAGCAGATGACCCGACTCTGCCGAACTGCACGAAGGCTGGCCAAGTCTTGCTTGTGACCAGGCTCACAGGCCTGCAAGACCCAAGCCTTGGGGCGAGATGCTGCAGGGACTCCACCAAACTTCGCTGCCTTTCCACGCTAGCGCGCAACAGCGTTCCCACCTCCTGCACCGCAAGCACAGCCGCAGGGTCATGCTCTGGAACTGTCACCTGGAAGAATTTGTCGCCACCCGTGCTGGAGGCATCATCGCAGTCAGCGGCTGCAACCTTCGATCCAGCCACCACCAAGCAGGTGTTGCCTTGCTTGACTTGCCCGTCCTGGCTGACTAGCCAACTTCCTTGCCCTTCTCGGCATTCGACCAAAGACACCTTGCCGGCCACAACTCCCAAGCAACTTCCGCCCAACACCTGTAGCTGCCCTTCCGCACTGCTGGAGAACACCTCAGCACCTGTGCCAGCCACAACGGCATCGACGCAGGGCTTTGCTTCCACACCACCGCCAGCTGCGACAAGGCATTGCTCTTGGGCTGCTGGAGCACCGCTCACGAGCATGTAAGCGGATGGCCCCGACATCGCAACTGCATTGGACAGCCCGAAGTATCCCCAAGGCTTTGCGCCGCGCATTAACACTTTGACAGCTTTCGCAGCCACTGGCTCCGGGAACAAGACAGTGTCCTCGAAGCTGGGCTCCGATCTCGATAGCTTGCTCCAGCCGACACTCTCCTGAAAGTTGCCACCGTCTGCGCTAGTGAGTACCTTGATCTCTCCTGGAGCATAGCTCCATCGCAAAGTCAGGCCAAGTAGCTGTCTCCGTGATCTGAAAGTGCCAGTCCAGGACACGGTCTGGCCCGGCTCGTGGTTCCCCGCGCTGCACCAATACCCCGAAGACTCCGTGGTTGCAAGCTCGGCCCCGAATGTCTTAGAAGAGTAGACGCTCGAGGCTGTAGCTGCATCGAAGGAAGCGAAACGCTGCGCAGCTGCAGGCAGCATCAAGGACAACAGAAGGCAAGCCTTCACCATTGCTTCCATAGCAGCCACAGCACTCACCACACACAACATGCACACTTGCTGCACAACTCGTTCTCACAGACCGAATGTCCAACGGTAGCTGGACCATGAAAACTGCACGCCGCTGTCTTGCGGCACACAAACTCCTGAGCGCCACGATGCACGGACAAACACACACACACACACACACACACACGAACGAGCACTCCAGCATAGCACAGCTCTACGCACAGGCTCCTCGCTCTTTACGACAGCTTGGGCCGCCACGTATTTGCGAAAGGCAGGAGCGATGCACGGCGACAAGATGCTTGAAAGCTAGGCACAGGCGCTCTCCAAGCGAGTTAGCACCGCAGCTGTGTCTGTGCTGAGTGCTTGCAAGACGCTCAGTGACTGAGTCATCTCGGCTGCCTGCTGAGCGTAGGCTTTCACGACATCTGCGCGCAGCGACGCATAATCCATCTCCGGCACTGCAACCGCCGCTGCAGCACTGAACATCAGGAGCAGAGTAGGAAGCAAACAAGCAAACAAACGAGCCAAGTCCATCTCTGCAGCTGTTGTGAGGTGGCTCCCGCGCAAGACCAGTCGACTCGTCTCTACTTGTGCTCCACACTCACGCAGTCGTCACATGCCCTCTGACTTTTTTCTACCAGCGATGCGCCATTGAACAAGGACTCTGACACAAAACAGAGTCACGTGGACTGCCACCTTCATTAGAGGTTTTGAACACATTTTGTCTAGGACCAACACGCCCATGTAACGCTAAACAAGGCAACCTGCAGCGCTGGCACCGCACACAGACATTTCAACCTCAACTCACAATCAAATGTGGACAAATCTGGCACCAGGCACACACCCTGCAGGGCTCTCATACATAGCCACATTTCCCCCAGCAACGACTTCGGTTCGAACTCTGCGCCCAAAGGTGGTCCGCAGAGCCCATCAAGTCAGAGAAAAAGGAGAGCGAATGTGCAGCAATTGGCACAGGCGCGGAAAGCCACACTCTCCCCCAGCAACATCATCTACACAGTTTCCACCCCCTGTCTGCTAAGCACAGCAGGTGCAACGGTGAGCACGCAACACTGACGATCGGAACACTCCAGCAGCAGTTGACCTCCAGGTCGACCCACAACCAACACTTCTCTCTGCTGCAGCTGCACGCGCAAGATGTGTTGGCCATAGATAGAAAGGGTTTACGTCACAGTATGGGCCAGTGACCAGGGCACACCTGACCTGGAAATGAGACGGGCTGCAAGACTCTGAACACGTTCAAGAGCTGCAACTGAGAAACGAGAACCTACAAAACGGATCGATACGGCTTACTTCGGCACTAGTGGCAGATAGCAGTAGCAACCCCCGCAGCAATGCAGTTGAACCAGGTCTCTTTACACGTCTTGGCCGGCTTGCGCAAGAAGGCAGGCAGAGCAAGGATTCTCAAGCAACGTCGTCAATCTCGTAATCTACTTAGTCTACTGACGCAGCATCATTGCCGCAGCCTCCTGGGGCACGTTGCAGCTGAAGCTGGTGCTCTGCACGCGGGCACTTGCTTCGAGTGGCCTGGCAGGGGATGACCAGAACACAGCAGGACTATTCCTTGGAAGCAACAAGCTTGAGAATGTCCGAGGACGCCGCAAGCACTGACGCTAGCACTGCCCTGCCAGGACCAAACGTGTCAGCGACCTTGACCGGCAGTGACTCGTCGAGCGCTGCACGCCCAGCAGATGACCCGACTCTGCCGAACTGCACGAAGGCTGGCCAAGTCTTGCTTGTGACCAGGCTCACAGGCCTGCAAGACCCAAGCCTTGGAACGAGATGCTGCAGGGACTCCACCAAACTTCGCTGCCTTTCCACGCTAGCACGCAACAGCGTTCCCACCTCCTGCACCGCAAGCACAGCCGCAGGGTCATGCTCTGGAACTGTCACCTGGAAGAATTTGTCGCCACCAGTGCTGGAGGCATCATCGCAGTCAGCGGCTGCAACCTTCGATCCAGCCACCACCAAGCAGGTGTTGCCTTGCTTGACTTGCCCGTCCTGGCTGACTATCCAACTTGCTTGCCCTTCTTGGCATTCGACCAAAGACACCTTGCCGGCCACAACTCCCAAGCAACTTCCGCCCAACACCTGTAGCTGCCCTTCCGCACTGCTGGAGAACACCTCAGCACCTGTGCCAGCCACAACGGCATCGACGCAGGGCTTTGCTTCCACACCACCGCCAGCTGCGACAAGGCATTGCTCTTGGGCTGCTGGAGCACCGCTCACGAGCATGTAAGCGGATGGCCCCGACATCGCAACTGCATTGGACAGCCCGAAGTATCCCCAAGGCTTTGCGCCGCGCATTAACACTTTGACAGCTTTCGCAGCCACTGGCTCCGGGAACAAGACAGTGTCCTCGAAGCTGGGCTCCGATCTCGAGAGCTTGCTCCAGCCGACACTCTCCTGAAAGTTGCCACCGTCTGCGCTAGTCAGCACCTTGATCTCTCCTGGAGCATAGCTCCATCGCAAAGTCAGGCCAAGCAGCTGTCTCCGTGATCTGAAAGTGCCAGTCCAGGACACGGTCTGGCCCGGCTCGTGGTTCCCCGCGCTGCACCAATACCCCGAAGACTCCGTGGTTGCAAGCTCGGCCCCGAATGTCTTAGAAGAATAGACGCTCGAGGCTGTAGCTGCATCGAAGGAAGCGAAACGCTGCGCAGCTGCAGGCAGCATCAAGGACAACAGAAGGCATGCCTTCACCATCGCTTCCATAGCAGACATAGCACTCACCACACACAACATGCACACTTGCTACACAACTCGTTCTCACAGACCGAATGTCCAACGGTAGCTGGACCTTGAAAACTGCACGCCGCTGTCTTGCGGTGCACAAACTCCTGAGCGCCACGATGCGCGGACAAACACACACACACACACACACACACACACAAACACACACGAACGAGCTCTCCAGCATAGCACAGCTCTACGCACAGGCTCCTCGCTCTTTACGACAGCTTGGGCCGCCACGTATTTGCGAAAGGCAGGAGCGATGCACGGCGACAAGATGCTTGAAAGCTAGGCACAGGCGCTCTCCAAGCGAGTTAGCACCGCAGCTGTGTCTGTGCTGAGTGCTTGCAAGACGCTCAGTGACTGAGTCATCTCGGCTGCCTGCTGAGCGTAGGCTTTCACGACATCTGCGCGCAGCGACGCATAATCCATCTCCGGCCCTGCAACCGCCGCTGCAGCACTGAACATCAGGAGCAGAGTAGGAAGCAAACAAGCAAACAAACGAGCCAAGTCCATATCTCTGCAGCTGCTGTGAAGTGGCTCCCGCGCAAGACCAGTCGACTCGTCTCTACTTGTGCTCCGCCCCGACTTTTTCTACGAGCGATGCGCCACTGAACACGGACTCTGACACAGAACAGAGTCACGTGGACTGCCACTCTCATTAGATTAGAGGTTTTTAGCACATTTGTCTAGGGGGAAGCAACGACCCAGGACCAACACGCCCATGTAACGCTAAACAAGGCAACCTGCAGCGCTGACACCGCACACAGACATTTCAACCTCAACTCACAATCAAACATGGGCAAATCTGGCACCAGGCACACACCCTGCAAGGGCTCTCATACATAGCCACACCACGCAATTGCCACCCCCTGCCTGCTAAGCACAGCATGCGCAACGGTGAGCAGGCAACACTGAAGATCGGAACACTCCAGCAGCAGTTGACCTCCAGGTCGACCCACAACCAACACGTCTCTCTGTTGCAGCTGCACGCGCAAGATGTGTTGGCTAGAGATAGAAAGGGTTTACGTCACAGTACGGGCCAGTGACCAAGCCACACCTGACCTGGAAATGAAAAGGGCTGCAGGACTCTGCAGACGTTCAAGAGCTGCAACTGAGAAACGAACCTACAAAACGGATCGATACGGCTTACGTCGGCACTAGTGGCAGATATAGCAGTAGCAACCCCCTCTGCACGTCTTGGCCGGCTTGTGCAAGAAGGCAGGCCGAGCAAGGACTGGAACTCTCAAGCAACGTCGTCTCAATCTCGTAATCTACTTAGTCTACTGACGCAGCATCATTGCCGCAGCCTCCTGGGGCACATTGCAGCTGAAGCTGATGCTCTGCACGCGGGCACTTGCTTCGAGTGGCCTGGCAGGGGATGACCAGAACACAGCAGGACTATACCTTGGAAGCAACAAGCTTGAGGGTGTCCGAGGACGCAGCAAGCACTGACGCTAGCGCTGCCCCGCCAGGACCAAACGTGTCAGCGACCTTGACCGGCAGTGACTCGTCGAGCGCTGCACGCCCAGCAGATGACCCGACTCTGCCGAACTGCACGAAGGCTGGCCAAGTCTTGCTTGTGACCAGGCTCACAGGCCTGCAAGACCCAAGCCTTGGGGCGAGATGCTGCAGGGACTCCACCAAACTTCGCTGCCTTTCCACGCTAGCGCGCAACAGCGTTCCCACTTCCTGCACCGCAAGCACAGCCGCAGGGTCATGCTCTGGAACTGTCACCTGGAAGAATTTGTCGCCACCCGTGCTGGAGGCATCATCGCAGTCAGCGGCTGCAACCTTCGATCCAGCCACCACCAAGCAGGTGTTGCCTTGCTTGACTTGCCCGTCCTGGCTGACTAGCCAACTTCCTTGCCCTTCTCGGCATTCGACCAAAGACACCTTGCCGGCCACAACTCCCAAGCAACTTCCGCCCAACACCTGTAGCTGCCCTTCCGCACTGCTGGAGAACACCTCAGCACCTGTGCCAGCCACAATGGCATCGATGCAGGGCGTTGCTTCCACACCACCGCCAGCTGCGACAAGGCATTGCTCTTGGGCTGCTGGAGCACCGCTCACGAGCATGTAAGCGGATGGCCCCGACATCGCAACTGCATTGGACAGCCCGAAGTATCCCCAAGGCTTTGCGCCGCGCATTAACACTTTGACAGCTTTCGCAGCCACTGGCTCCGGGAACAAGACAGTGTCCTCGAAGCTGGGCTCCGATCTCGATAGCTTGCTCCAGCCGACACTCTCCTGAAAGTTGCCACCGTCTGCGCTAGTGAGTACCTTGATCTCTGCTGGAGCATAGCTCCATCGCAAAGTCAGGCCAAGTAGCTGTCTCCGTGATCTGAAAGTGCCAGTCCAGGACACGGTCTGGCCCGGCTCGTGGTTCCCCGCGCTGCACCAATACCCCGAAGACTCCGTGGTTGCAAGCTCGGCCCCGAATGTCTTAGAAGAGTAGACGCTCGAGGCTGTAGCTGCATCGAAGGAAGCGAAACGCTGCGCAGCTGCAGGCAGCATCAAGGACAACAGAAGGCAAGCCTTCACCATTGCTTCCAGAGCAGCCATAGCACTCACCACACACAACACGCACACTTGCTACACAACTCGTTCTCACAGACCGAATGTCCAACGGTAGCTGGACCCTGAAGACTGCACGCCGCTGTCTTGCGGCGCACAAACTCCTGAGCGTCACGTCACAACACACACTAGCACACGTTTCACTATTCCCTCAAGGCACACCTTTTTCTGGACCAGACGCACAATGGTTTGAGAGGGACCCAGGCAGGGTCCCATCACACACGACACTGCCCACACACCTCCGTCCCTAGACGGCCACTTGGGGCCCAGAAAGGCCCTCTCGGGGCGGGCGGCGAAGGAAGCGAAACGCTGCGCAGCTGCAGGCAGGCAGCATCAATGACAACAGAAGGCAAGCCTTCACCACTGCGGCCAAAGCAGCCATAGCACTCACCACGCACAACATGCACACTTGCTACAACTCGTACTCACAGACCGAATGTCGGACGGTAACTGGACCCTGAAAACTGCACGCTGCACGCCGCCGTCTTGCGACGCACAACCTCCTGAGCGTCACGATATGCGGACAGACGAAGTCAGAGATCGAACAACTCAGCCGCCTGCAAGCCCTTCACGACTTCACACAGCACAGAATTCAAAAGCCAGGCCAAGTCACACGGGCTTGGAGGGTCGGAGAAAAGAAATCGCGCAGAACAACTGTCGACTCCGACACGCTGGCAGCAATACAACGCACCAGCCCTCTTAACAGACCACAGCTTGAGGTTGCACTGGCTGCCGGACATATATCTATATATGCAGCCGTGGCACAAGCAGGACGGTGTCCGGCTACAGCAAGCAGCCCCCGGACAAACTATTCTAACTATTCAGAAGCACATTCAGATCCCACTTAATGCACGCTGCGCGGGCACTCCGCCACACACACACACACACGAGCACTCCAGCGTAACACGCTCTCCGCACGGGCTCCGCGCTCTTTACGACAGCTTAGGCCGCCACGTATTTGCGATGCACGGCGACAAGATGCCTACCAGCTAGGCACAGGCGCTCTCCAAGCGAGTTAGCACCGCAGCTGTGTCTGTGCTGAGCGCTTGCAAGTCGCTCAGTGACTGAGTCATCTCGGCTGCCTGCTGAGCGTAGGCGTAGGCTTTCACGACATCTGCGCGCAGCGATGCATAATCCATCTCCGGCACTGCAACCGCCGCTGCAGCACTGAACATCAGGAGCAGCGTCGGGAGCAAACAAGCAAAAAAACGAGCCAAGTCCATCTCTGCAGCTGCTGTGATATGGCTTCAGCGCAAGACCAGTCGACTCGACTCTACTTGTGCTCCACACTCACGCAGTCGTCACATGCCCTCTGACTTTGTTCTACCAGCGATGCGCCATTGAACAAGGACTCTGACACAGAACAGAGTCACGTGGACTGCCACTCTCATTAGAGGTTTTTAGCACATTTGTCTAGGGGGAAGCAACGACCCAGTCTCTCTGTTCTAAACTACCAACACGCCCATGTAACGCTAAACAAGGCAACCTGCAGCGCTGACACCGCACACAGACATTTCAACCTCAACTCACAATCAAACATGCGCAAATCTGGCACCAGGCAAACACCCTGCAAAGGCTCTCATACATAGCCACGTTTCCCCCAGCAACGACTTCGGTTCGAACTCTGCGCCCAAAGGTGGTCCGCAGAGCCCATCAAGTCAGAGAAAAAGGAGAGCGAATGTGCAGCAATTGGCACAAGCGCGGAAAGCCACACTCCTCATCACCCAGCAACATCAACCACGCAGTTGCCACCCCCTGCCTGCTAAGCACAGCAGGCTGCAACGGTGAGCATGCAACACTGCGAGCAAGCAAGCACTCGCACTAACAAGTCCAGGCAGCACGCGCAGTCGTTCACACACGTGTCATGGCAACTGTTATGGCGCTATAGACCCCTTTTGACTGCACGCTCGCACGCATGTCACCTGATGAATGCGCCAGCGAACAACATGTAAGAGCAAAGCCCAGCATTCGTCCCCCTACGACGGATGCACTCCACATAGTTGGCCAACCAAGATGCTTTGAAAGGCTTTGGAAGCCGTGAATAATCTGGAAACTCACGCTAGAAAGCCGTGTATGTGCAGAGCGTGGGAACTAAAGCACGCGTGCGTGAAGACGTGTTCGCAAGGATCAGGCCCAAGAATAAAACAAGCAGGTGGCCACAGGTCCACCATGGAAGCTGCGGCCAAAAGATCGGAGGCAGGCGTGAAGACGTATCTGCTGATGATAGCTCACACAGCCCACATTCTGACCAAACTCAAAACAGGAATGAGATGCTGACGCACACGAAAGCGAACATGTTGCGCGTTATTTAATGGACACGCAGACGTATAAAAGACACTGTCACTGCCTCTTGGGGCCCTTGCCCGGCACTCAGCAGCATCAGGACACCGGTCCATCTGGCAGCACGTGTGTGA